GGGTAGAAATAGGGGAGGAAATAGGGGAGGAAATAGGGGAGGAAATAGGGGTGGAAATAGGAGAGGGGGAATAGGGGAAAAGGGGAATAGGGAATAGGAGAGAATTTGCGATTTATACTCATTTTCTTTATTTCCTTAAGTTTTTATTCTAGGGATACGTCCCTAACTATTTATTATACCTATATTAGATTTTGGGCCTATATATTAGCTACTGAGATACACGCTAGCTAGCTAGCCGTGCTATATAGTTCTAAACTAATAAAGCACGTTAAAAGAAAAAAAGAAAAAAAAAGGAAAAAAAAAAAAAAATAAAGTGATTTTTAAATTCTAGTATATTTTATATATTTTTTTATTTATTTTTTTTTTTCCTTTTAATATGCTTTATTAGTTTAGAACTATATAGTACGGCTAGCTAGCTAGCGTGTGTCTCAGTAGCTAATATACAGGCCCAAAATCTAATATAGGTATAATAAATAGTTGGGGACGTATCCCTAGAATAAAAACTTAAGGAAATAAAGAAAATGAGTATAAATCGCAAATTCTCTCCTATTCCCTATTCCCCTTTTCCCCTATTCCCCTTTCCTCTCCCCTATTTCCTCCCCTATTTCCTCCCCTATTTCCTCCCCTATTTCTACCCCTATTTCCACTTCTTCTACTTCCACGCTTCGGTCCATATGCCATTTTCTTGTATATATACTAGTCTCTTTTAAGAATACTAGTATATTCGGTATACTAATCTCCGTATGTAATAGAACTCGTAGGTTAAAAGCACTAGCCTCCAAGCTACCCTTGAATAGACTAAATAGTCTAATTCGTTTCTCCTTATATAGCTCGTAATATAAAAGGAGGTGCTTTGTATTCTTAGTCTTCCCACATTTGTATTTGTTATTAGATACTATTTTTAGCCTATATAAATAGGACTTTATATATCCGTGGCCTAGCTTTAATTAGAAGAAGGCACTAGCTAGTAGCCTTAAAGTTCCTAAAGGTAGCTGTATTTTCTTAGATACTTTCTACGGATATATATTACTATATAATTCTAGCTAGGTCTTCGGTTTAGTATAAGATTCTAAAAGTAGTCTATACTCTTGTTTCTTAACTTTATTAATTTGGACCCCTAGGAAAGCAAATGAGGTTTTTACTAATTCGGGGTCACCTGATATAGGGGAAGTAGTACCTATTTTACTATTTTAGCTAGCACGTCTGCTTCTTCGTTCCCAATTATATCTGTGTGGCCTGGGACCCAGATTAGTTCTATACTAGCTCCTTTAGCTATAAGGGCTTTAGTAGCTAGTATAGCTCTAATCTATTGACTTTGTCCCGGCTTATTAGAAGAAGTCTTTAATCTTAGTAAACTAGCTTGGTTATCTATATAGATATTATAGAGCTCCCCTCTCTTTGCTTTACTACTAGCGTATTTAATAGCTCTAGTAATGCCTTCTAGTTCTCTATTATAGACTATAGTACTAGCTCCTATATTCTGGCTTTTTCTATATTTAGCTACGACCGGAATATAAGGAGTTTCGTGACTATAGATAACGAGTCCTAGGCCTATTCCAATTTCTTTCTGAGTTTGAGATCTATTTATATATATAGATAAAACGGAGCTATTATTATATAAAGTCTTTAAATAGAGGTTATGTAATATAGTAGTCTTTTCCTTAGGCTATCTTAATATAGTGATTTTATAAGGTACTTTTCTATTTCAGGGAGCAAAGTAAAAGTGTCTTATAGTCTCTAAGTCCTTAGGGACTATAAGTTCCTTAATAGAATTGACTATAATTTCAATTTGGGACATTTTAGCCGTATGATCTCGAACTAGATCTGTATTTAGACTATAAATAGAGTCTATATTAGAGTCTACTGATTCTAATTACTTAGATCTTTGGAAGGACTTCTCAAACTCTAGTCTAATAGGGTGATTTAGACTTAATTTAAGGATACGGAGGGCATATTAATGACGACTATGGTTTAGCCTTATAATAGGTAAAAGTAAAGCTAATTCGACCTCTATAGGAATAATAGGAGCTGATTTAAATACTCCTAAGGTTTTCCTTAGGGCTAGGTTCTGAATAGCTTATAAAGGCCTAATTTGAGCTTTATTTTCAGTCTTCTACTATAGTAAGGAACCATAGTCTATTACACTAGTAATACAGGCTAAATATAGCTGTCTAATTGCAAATGGGAATAAACCACGTGATATGTTCGTAAGTCTCTGAACCCTATAAAAGGCTTGTTTTGCTTTAGAAGTCCTATAGGCTATATGTTTCTTAAAACTAAGCTTCTCGTTATAGTATATTCCTAGCCATTTAACTACCTTACTAGGGAGGACTATAGCTTCATTAGGTAGTTTTAAGCTAGGCTTATTTTTGGAATTATTAAAGTAAATAAGCTTAGTTTTATCTATATTAAAGCTAATAGCATTCTTATTCCCTAGCTCAAATATATTCTTTGCTTCTTTTTCTAAAGTCTTTATATTTTGTTTAAGACTTTTAGAAGTAGTAATAAGAGTTATATTATCTAAATAGGACTTAAAACTGATATTTGCTAATCTAAATAGATCTCTAATATAGATTAGGAATAGTATAGGTAATATAGGACTACCTTATGAAATGCTAGTAAGTATAGACTTAAATGCTTTAATACTATTATTAAAGGCTAGTCTTAATACCCGGTCGTCTAGGAATAATAATATCCAGAGAATAAGGCTAGTAGGTAGTAGTAAACTAATTATAATCTATAATAGCCTATTCTTGGATACGTGATTAAAGGCACCTTTAATATCTAGGAAGAGAGTACTAGTTTTCAGCTTATAGGACTTATTAGTCTCTACTTTATTCTATAGTAATAAAGCAGTATTAATAGCTAACTTATATAGCCTATCTCCTATTTAGGAGGGGTATAATAGGTTACTAGTCTCGGCTAAATAACTAAGTCTCTTAGCTAATATTCTCTCAGAAACCTTCCCTAAGTAATTAAGTAAGGAAATAACTCAATATGCTTTAGGTAGGAAATAGTTTGGTTTTCCTGATTTCTTTAGAATAAAGCTAGTAGCTTGTTTCCAGACTTTAGGGTAGTACCCCTTATTAATAAATAAGGAATATAGCCTATAAAAAATGTCTGAAGCAGCTCTATAGGCATGGACTATAATCTCTTGAGTAACTAAGTCTAGTCCTGGGGTTTTCCCCTTTATCTTAGAAGTACATGCTTATTCTAGCTCTATTCTGGATAGAATAGGCCAGTTCTACTTTAAACTAGGCCTATAGTTTATTAGGCTAATAGGCTCAGTATTAGGGGGTAGTAGGAAAAGCTCGGCTCTAAAGATATTATACTTCTCTTGGAAAGTCGACTTTAAATTGCTATTACTACTATTACTACTATTACTACTATTTCCATTATTATTACTTAAGATACTAGGGATCGGTTCATATAAGGTATCTTTAGTATACTTCATAGCTTTAAAGATTAACTGGAAGTCTTTATTCTCTAAGAACTTATTCTAATACGCTAGCTTAGTGCCTTTAATAGTAATAAAGTAGGTATTCTTTGCATTTTGGAGTTCTTATTTATAGAGAGTATATCCTGAGGCTTTAGACTTATGGCTATAATATAGTATTAATTTACGTAAAGTCTTTAAGTCCTTATTTTACCAGGGTTTAGAATATGAACTAATAGTAGATTTTGGAATACTATTACTAGCCGCATCCACTATTCTATTAGTAAAGTCTTTAGCTAATAGATCTAGTTCATGGTTTCCAGGTATACTAGTAAGTAGAAAGGGCATATTATTAAGGCTACTAATAAGGTAGCTTGTAAATTTAGCCCAGTCCGCTTTCCTAGTATTAAATCTGACTGGATTAGAACTAGAGCTATAAGTCGACTTACTAATAGTAAATAGTACCCCAAAGTAATTAGAACCTAAGTCTAGTAGTACTTGCTAGTCTTTAATCTTAGTTACTATTTCACTAGTAGCAAAACTTAAGTCTAATATAGAAGGAGTAAATATATTAGGCCTATAGAAAGTACCTTCCCCTATTTTATTTAATAGCCTTAGAGAATAGCTCTCTATATAGCTAATTAAATAAATTGCATAACTGCTTTGAGGCCTTAGGAAATCCTACTAAGGATAATATGTATTAAAATCGCCTAGTAATAAAGAGCTATTAAAGAAAGTAGTAGGTAAAATGTCCTCTCTTAATATAATTAATATATTATTAGGGTCTTCTGGGTAAATTGCATTATAGAAATTAATTAGCTGCATTTTTAGTATACCTAGACTTAAGTCTATAATTAGGCAATCTGGATTACTTAGTGAGTTTTGAGCTAGGCTAGCCTGTAATTCACGGGCTACGTAAATTAAGGTTCTAGGTCTCAAGGTACCGTAATTCGGGAGTATTTAATAATAGCTCGAGTATATAATAGAATAATATTTCCGATTATTACTATTCCTTGCTATTACCCATAGTTCCTGGATTACTAGGACTTTAATATCCAATTCTATAGCTATTTGCAAGACGTTTTTAGTAGTAGTTCTATTATGATTCACATTAAATTATAGTACTTTAATATAGTTACTTATTAATAGTAATAGTAGGAATTATAGTAGCTTTAATAGCTAAGTACACTTCATATAGCTTAGAACTAGCTGAGTGAGTAGTACTTAAGTAATTAGAGTATTTAGTAGTTATGTGAGGGCATTTTTTACTCTTCTTCTTATAGATAGAGCAAAAATGGTTCTCAGTCACGTGACCCTCACTATATAGTAAGCACTTAGGTTCCTTTTTGCAAATAGAATCTAAGTGCCCGTACCCTGCGCACCTAGTGCACTATATAGTACTAGAAATAGTATGGTATTTTATTACTTTAGCAGAGATCCCGGCTATAAGAAGTCTATTTTTAATAGCTCTATTAGCTTGAATCTCGGTAGGGAATACTACTATTACTAAACCGGCTCGCTAGAGGCCTGAGTCTCTTTTCTCCTTAGAAGTAGCCTAATAGGGCTAGCTAATAGGCTCTAGTCCCTTATTAAAGGTCTTGATTTCTTCTAGGACTAAGTTCATTTCTTCGGGTATATTGAACTTACGAATAGGTAGACTATAGATAATAACTTTATACTAAGGTTCTCCTTTTTATATGCTTGTAACTAAGGGAAGTATTCCCTTTATAATAGCTTGATTTTGAACCAGAAAGTCAGAGTTGAATTCGGGAGTAGTATTAACTATAATATTATTCTTTGAGGAAAGAGAAATCATAGAGATTACTAGTCCCTTGATTTCCTTAGAGCAGAAAGTAGTATTAAGCGAATTGCGAGTTGAAATAGGAGAGAACGAGCTAGCCTGCTCTATATGAGCTAGTAGGAAGGTGCATTTCCTAGAGAGGGCTATAGATCTGGTATTACGAGTACCAGAACTACTAGTATTATATATACTGGGTGGTTTATTAGTGCCACGAGTACTACCGCTACTAGTAAGTATACTAGGGCCTTTTCCTCCCTGATTTTTAGACTTAGTGTATGATACTAAAGTCCAGTTCTTTTCCGAGTATGATTCCGAGTATGTTTGTGGTTCTTGAGTAGTGATTTTAGCCCAAGTAGGCTTTTCGGAGGTAGTTTTAGCTTAAGTAGCTAGCTTGGCTTGAGTTCTTGACTGAATTTCGATCCGTTTAGTAGCATTTTCGAGGTTTGCTACCTATAAAGCTAGTAAAGTACTAGTATAGCGGATATGGCCGAATTCTGTGTATTCCCTGAAGATTTCTACTAAATCTAGTAGTCGAGATTACTGGTCATGTAACGGGGTAATAGTAATGGCTTTGACTATTAAGTCCCGGGCTTAATGAATTAGTAATTTAGCTTTATTTGAAGCTTGATTTTGGTATTAGTAGTGGTTTCCGTGGTTTTAGTATTCCTTATTAATATTGCTATTAATATTACTCGCGCTAGGGCCACGCTTTAGTCCGTTCTGGAGGCGGCTTAGTCGAGCCATACTAGCTGAATTAGGCTAAGGAAAAGGGGCTGCGAGTTTATCTAAAGAGATAGGATTTGTAGCTAAATCGAATGCGAATTGAGCTCCCTGGCTAAACCGGGCTAGTGGGGAGCTAGTGGGTAGCTCTAGTTCCTTGCTAGGGCCCTCTGGAAGCTCTCTGAGCTCTTGAAAGTCAATAGGAGGGAGGCTGGAGCCCGGGGGGTCAGGGGGGGCCATTTAGCCTGTTCTAGCTCTACTTATAGTAGGTTCTAGAGCCTGGGGCCAAAGGGCTAAGGTGTATTGAGTGAGTTCTGAGGGTGGGTAAAGTATGGGTATGAAAGTAAGGGGAGTAGAAAACCGGAAAAAAGTTATCTATAAATATTCTAGTTAATTATATTATTAGTATTTCTTAGTAATAACTAGAGAAGTAACCTAATAAGAAATATTAAAAGAATACTAATTAATAAGATTCTATTATAAGCTATTTCTAAAAAAAAATTATTCTTAAGTAGTTTTCTTTTTTTAGACTAATTAAAGGAAATTATATAAAATTATAAAAAAGAAGCTTTTATAGCTTAATTAAGATATAATACCTAAGTAAAAGCTAAAGAAGTAAAAAGAGGTTCTTAATAAAAAGCAAATATTAGACCTAGTTATTCTTATTTCTATAGTATTTAATTATATAGCTAAGAGAAAAGATAATATTATTAGTTAAATCTCTATTTATAAGATTAATAAGAAGCTTAAAGCTCGGAAAAAAGAAGCTATTCCTGGCTTAGAGAATTAATAACTAGAAGAAATAAAGTTTTAGTAGCTATAGAGAATATTATTTCCGGAACTTAAGAAATATGCCTTTATTTTCTTTAAAAAGAAATCTAATATCTTTTTTTCTTATAGATTATATAATTATAAGATTTAGATTAAATACCTAAAAAGAATTAAAAGTATTAGATATTAATTCCTCTAGTAATAATTTACTTAAGAACTTCTAGAAATCAAGTATTTCTTAAAAAATAATCTAGCTAAGGGCTTTATTAAAGCTAGTTAAACTCTTTTTACTTTACTAGTTCTTTTTATAAAGAAAGCAAATAGAGATTTATATTTCTATATTAATTTCTGCTATCTAAATAATATTACCCGGAAGAATTAATATTTTCTTTTACTTATTAATAAGACTTTAAGTTAATTATTTAAGGCCAAGATCTATATTAAATTAGATATTTACTAAGTTTTCTATTATATAACTATAAACCCGAACTCTCAGGAGCTAATAATATTTCATACTTATTATAAAGTATATAAATATAATATTTTCTGGAAAAGCCTTATAAATAGCCTAGCTATATATTAATACTATATAAATAATATATTCTTTAAATATCTAAATAACTTTTATATAATATACCTTAATAATATTCTTATTTATTTAGAGGACCTAGTAAAGTATAAATAATATATATAAAAAGTACTAGATTATTTATATCTTACTAGCCTCTAAGTAAATATTAAGAAATTGGAATTTAAAGTTATATATATAAAGTACTTGGGCTTTATTATTTCTATATCTAGTATTAAAGTAAATCCTAATAAAGTCAAAGTAATATATAACTAGTAATTCCTAAAAAATAATTAAGGATATATAGTTCTTTCTTGGCTTTTATAACTTTTATAAATACTTTATTAAAAAGTATAAATAAATTACTAGATCTTTTACCTTATTTATAAAAAAGGGGATTTTCTTTAAATAGTCCGAGTAATATTAAGAGACTTTTACTTACTTAAAGAAAGCTATGATTTCTATTCTAGTTTTATAATATTATAATCCAGATCTATTTATAATAATAGAAATAGATATATTTAAAGAAATAATTACTAACTTATTTTCTTAAAAAGATCTAGAAATAGGCCTTTAGTATCCTATAGCTTATTTTTCCAAAATTATACTTCTAGTAAAGCTTAATTATAATATATATAATAAGGAAATACTTGCTATAATATAAGTATTAGAGAAATAGAAAGCTAAGCTAAAGGGCCTTTAGAATACTTCTTTTAAGGTCTATTCTAATTACTATATCTTAGAGTACTTTATAACTATTAAGAAGCTCTTTTTTTAATAAGCTAAATAGGCTAAGCTTTTATTCTATTATTACTTTAAGCTTATATATTATTCTAGAAAATTAAATAAGTAAATAAATACTTTATTACGAAAATAAAATAAAGTAAATATTTAGAACCAGATTAAAGAGAAGCTATAAACTCAAGTACTTTTTCCTAAAAATAAGATTAATTCGGAGATTATCTATAACTTATAGCTTATAGTAATACTTTATAAAGTCGGCTTACTTAATCCGGAATTCGGTCCTAAAAATCAAGTATATATTAAAGACTTTCTAGAAGAAAATACTCTTATTAAAAATATAATTCTTCTGGAAAAAAGTATTTTCTTAGAAGCTTTATTAATAGACTTTACTATAGTAGCCCCTATAAAAGTACTATTAGAAGCTCCTGCCGAGTATAGTAGTTTATAACTTATAAATAAGATCCTATAGGATAATTATATATTATTAGATCTAGAAAAGCTATATATAATAGCTTAAGCTAAAAGTAATATCTGAATATTATAAGATAGCCTCTTTTTATATTATAAAAGACTTTATATTATAGAGAATAAAATAATTCCCGAACTACTTTTATAAACTACTCTAATTTGTAAAGTATATAATAAATCCCTTTCTAGATATCCTAAATATATAAAGCTCCGTTAATTATTAAAGAAGTAATATTACTAGTTATCTATAGGCAAGGATATTAATTAATACTATAGTAATTACTATACTTATAGAAAATCGCATATATCTAGAAATAAGAAGCCTGATTTATTTTATTTTCTTCTAGTTCCTAATTACTTCTAGTAATATATTACTATAAACTTTAAAAGCTATCTAGAAAGTAAATCAGGCTATAATATAGTTACTATATTTATGAATTACTTATTCAAGTATCTAATTATAATTCTAGTACGAGATATAATTATAGCCAAATAACTAGTACTTCTGTTTTTACTTTATATAATATACTAAGTAAGTATTTCAGAAATAATTATATTAGATTAGGAATCCTAATTTATATCCGATTTTTGAAGCAAATTCTATACGAGAATTAATATAAAGCTTAAGCTTTTTATAGCTAATTATTCCTAAATAGACAAATAAATAGAGATTATTAATTAGTACTTTAATTAGAGATTATACTTATATATTAATTATTACTAGAATAACTAGAATAAATAAATTACTATAATTAATTATTAATAAGCCTTTCTTTAATATAAAACTATTAGCTAGTTTCTATTTATAACTAAAAAGGGCTATAAGTCTTATATTTCTCTAGACTAGAACTTCTCTATTAAAGCTAACTTACCTAAAAAGAAGCTAAATAAAAATAAAGCTAAAATATTAGTAAATTAATTATATGAATTATAGTAATTTGCCTAAGGCTATATAAAATAAGTATAAGAATAATATATAATATAAGCTAATAAGTATTACTATCTAATTACCATAATTTTAAAGTCGGGAATAAAGTATGAATTATTATAAAGTACTAGAAATTCAATTATTTAAGCCAGAAGCTAGGGAACTAAATAGAAGGCTTATTTAAGATTCTAGAATAATATAATTACTTATTTCTTCTAAAACTACCGGAAATTATAAAGATATATCTAGTTTTCTATATAAAAAAGCTATAAAAAGATTTCTAGAATTCTTTACTAGGTTAAGTAAACCCGGAACTACTTTTATTAATACTAGAGAATAGTAAATAAGAGTATAGTATTAAATAGGTTATTATAGTTAAGCTAATAAGAAATAAGCTAAAGTATAAAATTTAGTAAATTAGTTAGAATAAAGATCTAGTATAATATCTAGTTTTAGTACTAAGTAATAGCTTCCTAGTTTTATAGAATTTCTATAATAATAATATTAATATACTAGAACTTCTATAAAACCTATAATACTAGCTAGATTATATAAAAAATAATACTTGTCTAAAATTATATGAAAATAATAAGAAACTCTCTTAGGTTATATAATAAAAGTGCCGGCCTTTTATATATAATATCTATATCTAAAATACTAGTTTTACTTTAGAAGGAAATATAGTATAAAATTAGATAAATTAATAGCTTTTATAAAGCTCGGAAACGAGCTTATTATAAAGAAAAAAGTAATATTATAATTTCCAGATATCCGGTATCTGAAATACCTTACTAAATACTAGATATTTTCTAGGTATATATAATACGGCCGCCTTACTAGAGAAGTATATTTAAAATATACTAGAGATATTTAGAAGGCTAAGCCTCTTCGGGACTAGTATATTATAGAATATATATATTTTCTCGCAGCCTCTTA